CCCTACAAATGCCTTACAGGTACCCGGAAGTAGCAAAATAGGCTGAGAAACACTCTTCTAAGCTTCCTCATAAACACACATTCCTGCACACTTACTGCTACCTCCCACAAGGAGGGAGAAAGCAAAGATGATGTTGATTTTTTTTCTTGATATTCCCAAATCATTTTCCAGTTTCTCCCGCTTGCTTTATACTTTCCTGAGGGTCTCACGGGTCTTGGCACACAAGGTTTTTCTGTTTCTGAGAAAGCACACTGTGTTGATTTGAGGTCTAGGACTGAGTGAGAGAGTAAAATATACCATCCCAAATATATTTCTTAGGCATATTTCAGATTAGTCATTCAGAGAAGCTGTAGGTCTCTACAGACACAAGACAAGCCATGAAAGTCTGCTCTTTTGTTGAAGGAAATGACTTCTCTAAAGGAAATTTACGTTAGTGATGTGAACAGCCAGTGGATTTACACAGCATTTTCTATCTGATTTTTCTTTGCTGCTTAGGGAAGAATTTTTTCCAGGAGGAGGAGGTCAAGGGTGTGAAACCTATCTCAGAAAGGGGAGACCGCTGGGACTGCTACTTGGAGGTCTTATCTACATCTCTAGGAAAACTCTGTGGCTGCCACTGTCCCTGATGCCCAGGCCTTGACTGTGCACAGCTCTATGTCAGCTTCAACTGTCCAGACCCCTTCAAGTTTCTTCTTTGTGCATGGATCTTGTGTTTCTGTTCTTTCATAAATTCAGTATGATCCTTTTTCTGTTCATTTACATGTTGCCAGTTTATTTTATAGATTATAATGCAAGAAACTTTAGATATAAAGGGTGAAAGTGAAACTTTCCTGTGGGAGAACACTGCCCAATGGTATGATCTGCCAGACTTGGCATTTCATGGGGTGGAATGTAAAGATTAATAATCCCTCCAGTTCAGGTTAGGGAGACAAAGCACATTTTCCTAGGACTCAAACAAAGGCTCCAAAACTCCCCTGTACTGCTTCCCTTCCCATGTGTAGATGTCTCTGACTTCATGATCAAAGGTTTTGCCCCTCTGTGCTCTTGAATTTAGGTTGAAATCTGGAAGAGAACAATGAATAAACAACAAGAAAGTCTGGTTAGCAAAGGCTGCCTGGCCATACTGAAGTAAGATCCACAGGATCTCAGTGACCAGCAACCCCATTGTGGAGAACCAAGCTCTTGGTAATCTTAACTGTGAAGAGTATTTTATTTTATTTTATTTTATTTTATTTTATTTTATTATGAGCAGAATATATTTACTGAGAGAAAGAAAGCTCCTGTCCCAGAGAGGGACAGGAGGGGGGCCCGAGCTGGTAGTTCCCCCGTGAAGAGTATTTTAACAGAGGGAGGAGCTAGAGGAGGAGGTGCTGGAGTATGGAGTGTGTGTGTGTGTGTGTGTGTGTGTGTGTGTGTGTGTGTGTGTGTAGGGTCGCTCTAGAGTGAGTGCATGGCTGAGTGAGTTTACCCCTATGAGGCAGTGAGAGAAACTGGGGCCTACCTCTGAGGAGAAGAGGGGTTGTGACGTCACCTAGCAGCGGGCCCCCTCTGGGTCCCCATGCCTGGTAGCTTGGTGGCAATGGCTGGTTGTGAGGAGGCAGGGAAGCAGGTGTATAGGCCCCTGCCTTAGAGGGCATGGATGTGGACTTGGATCCTGAGCTGATGCAGAAGTTCAGTTGCCTGGGCACCACCGACAAGGACGTGCTCATCTCTGAGTTCTAGCAGCTGCTCAGCTTCCAGCTCAACCCGGCTGGCAATGCCTTCCTCCTGGACATGACCAACTGGAACTTACAAGCAGCAATTGGTGCCTATTATGACTTTGAGAGCCCAAACATCAGTGTGCCCTCTATGTCCTTTGTTGAAGATGTCACCATAGCAGAAGGGGAGTTGATACCACCTGATACTCTGTAAAAACATGGTGGATCCAGAATTCTGGAGCAGAAGTCTGGCCTCCAGGGGTTTGTCTTAAATATGTTGGGGGAGACCAATTTGGACTGTGAACATGGTGGTGGTGAGATCTCTAGAACTCCAAGAGATTACAGATGTCAGTGTCTAGATGTGTAGCCCCAGCAGAGCAGGAATGTATCAGGGATAGTGGTGGATGTGCGCTGCTACAGGACTCTACTATGGAGATGTCATCTGGTGATAATCAGTGCGGAGGTGGGTGGACTTTTAGGAGTAGTAACACAGGAGCTGTCTTTTGACACAGGGTTCAACACACAACCGCCCTGCAAAGTAGAAGGAAGCTTCAACCCTTTTACCTTCATCCAAAGAACTGACAAATCAGATGAAAACAACTTAAAAGACCCTGGGCATTCTGGGTTTGACTTGATCAACAAAAACACATGGGCTCCTGCTCCTGACCAATAGAGCAAGATGAGGATAGATGCACAGAACTCTGTAAATCTGTCCCCAGCAGTCACACAAACAACTTGTCAGTACTGACTTAAGGTAAGGGGCTCCTTGGGCCTTACCCCTTCAGCCAGTCTTAAACAAGTATCAGCAAGAAGAAAAATAAACAAAAGACAGAAGGCCCACCTTTGCGAGGGAGGGCAAGGGGTTTGTCTGGATTCCAGACCATGTCTCACAGACCCCTGGCTCTGACTCCCACCCCAGAAGAAGAGGAAGCAGCAGAACAGACTAGTGTGGAGTGAGCTCAGTATGCATGTGTGAATGGCGGATCACAGCGATGGTGCTGGGACTACCGAGAAATCCACACAGCCACCTTGGGTTCTATTCATTAGGTGTCAGTCTACAAGTCACTGGGACACTCAGGGAAGGGCAGAAATTCTAATTGGGGGAAATCAGCCATCTTTGTAAGTAAAAATTACTTTGCCTACAAAAAAGGAGAATATTTTGACAGAGAAGAACCTCACTTACCTGATCTACTAATCTCTCATAAACAATAATTGCACAAACTAGGCAAAAATCTTAAGGAAAGAGAATCACATTTGTTTTTTTTTTTGAACTCCAACAAACTTAATTTTAACTGCAAACAAGAAATTTTTTCCCAAACATTAAAAATATATGAAACATTTATTCATAGACCAAAATATGTAGACTTTTCCCTAGAATTTAAGAATCCAGGAATACCTAGTAATTGACATTTCAGTATTTTCAGTTACTTAGAAATGTCTCAGATGTTTTGTATCTGTCACCTAATTTAACATAACTAAGAGATTTCATAAACATTTATCCCACTTATATTTATTGAGTTTATCATGTTTTAACAGTTATATTGAAATTATTTATGAAAACTGCCCTTTGGACAAGAAAAGATGCTATTATAAGTTATTTCCGGGTCAAAGACAAATGCTGGAAGTCAAAAGTGCTGTGCCTCCAGCAGGACTCAGTGGCTGCCCTCTTCCTTTTTGTACTTGTTCTTAGGTCCAATGTATACCTCTGTGATCTTAAATGCTGAGCATGCCTATACCTATGCAAGGGTGAAGATAGACTTTTTTAAAAAATTAATTTAGGACAGGTCTACAGAGTGTACAAGGTCTCACTACATAGATTGGACTCATAGTGATTCTCCTGTTTCAGCCTCCCAAGCACTGGGATTACAGGTGTGCACCACCACGCCCAGTCTCAATCACCATCTCAGCACCACAACAAGCCAGGGATTAAGCCCAGGCTGCTGTGCTCTGCCCAAGCAGACACTTTAGTCTGCTGAGCTATCTGGCTGGTCCCTAGAGTTGTTTTGGTTAAATGCACAATATTACCTTAGTCTTATGTTCAATTTGTTTAGAAATCTGTGTAGTTATAGGTGTCACCGTGATTGTGGCCATCTACACTGCTGTGCCTCTGCTAAGGTGGCTTTGATTGGAGCTTCCACGATGAGCAATGATGTTCAGCATCCTGTGTACCTACTAGCTATTTTTATTTCTACTTTTGAGAAACGTCAGTTCAGACCCTTTTTCTGATGTGTATGTGTGTGTGTGTGTGTGTGTGTGTGTGTGTTTTCTTCTTGCAATTGAGTTATATGAGTTCCTTACACAGTTTATTTTTTTATATATTTATTTTTTATTGAGAAATAAATGTGAATGAGACAGTTTCACAGCTGATTAATAGGACAGTTTTGATAGTCAATGCACTGTGCATTGTTATCTTCTTAGTGGTTATCCATAATACAAGAAGCAGACAGGATATTCTGTCCAAACACTGCTAGTACACCTCTTTCTTTTCATTGAGTTAAGCGAGAGTAGCTGTAAATTTATCCTATTTTATATATATAAATACAAAATGATCTTTCCTTTGTATCTTTTTTTAAAATTAAAATTTAAATTTTTTTTGTCCTGTCAGAGGTGAATATTCTATTGGCATCTAAATACTATAGGTGTTTGAATTCAACTAAACAATCTAACACAGTCTAGCAGTCTATAATATTAGTGGGTTATCCTCAGAAGTTATTGACTTGAGCCTTTTATAGCTCATCATATTAATATGGATTTACTTTATATACCTCATTTTTATACTTTTCTGCTGGATGCTTAAGACCAAGATATAGCAAGACCTATATCCCAAGAAATGTAACTTTTGTATCTGATAAGGTCAGCCAAATACTCTCAGGATTTATCCTGTAGCCCTGTACCGCTTTTTGTACATCCTTTTGTCAGTGTCTGACATGAGGATGAGTCACGGCCATTGCTTGACCAATTTGCTCTCTGTGAAAGTTTGAGAAAATGTTTTTTCTCTCCATGTGACTCTCCCCAGGCTCACTTTAGATCATCAAATACATTTCTCTGTGGCTCCATAATCTTCTTGATCAGAAAATTTGGAGCACAACAGAGTTACATGTTGTTACAGTACAGGTTCTCCTATGTCCCAAGTCTTCACTGACCTTGAAAGGCTAGGGCCAAAATGTTGGCTAACCATGCAGCCCTTCCTTTTCTCCAATTTTGATCTACTAACTTAGGTTGTTAACCCTCCAGAAGAGAAGCTAATTATTAACCTGCAATATATGCAGTTCGGTTTACCCTATCTGTCGAAATAGCAAACATTTTGGCATATCATGGGAGAATCACATTTGAACTGAGGATTTTTTGTTGTTGTTGTTGCTGTTGTTGACTGAATTTATACAGATCCAGTAACCCAACCATGCCAGGTCTCTGTGCTTGACGTATTGGAGTTTCTCTGTCTCTGTATCTTCCTCTTTGCTTTCTTGAGTCTCCTATCATTTTGCTTTTCGTGTCTCTACTTTTCAGGCATGATAACTCTGACTTCTAATTGAGCTGACCCTCTGATTTCCTTTCATTAACACTGTAAAATTACATTCACAGGATTTAATAGATCAGCAGCAGAGATAAACAGGAAGTGCCTTGCAGACAAAGATGAATTCTGTGGCTTTTTGTTTGTTCGTTCTTTCAGGTTATTTCATGAGACCTTTCTTGATAAAAATCTTCTCTGGATTGTTTGGGGTGCTTTGACCCAGATCAGCAGTTGCCACTTTGGCTTGTAGCAACATGACAAACCAACATGAGGGGACAAAAGTGAATTGATTATTTCGGCTGAATTTCCAGGGAGTTTCATTCACAACACAGAGAGGCAGAATGCACAGAAAACTAGAACACATATTTCCTCATTATGCCTTTGTTGTACCAATCATTCAGTGACTGTGTATAAGATCTCCTTTGTGCTTCGCCATGGGAGGCCGTGAGGGAGAGTGATGGGTTCCCATGGCTACCATAGAGGCTGTGAGGTGTACAAAGGATCTGAAGTGAGCACTTAGGTAACCTGGGGTTCCCCTTCAGGTGCC